TCTATGAAAAATGATTTTCTTCTTAGATAGTCAATGAACAAGTCCTATCAAAAGAGCTTGGTCAATTTTCACCTTTTAAAATCAATTCAACAAAAAAACAAATAACAAGATTTCCTATAGAAATCATTCTTTCGAAAACAATTGGTAGTGAATGGCAATCTATACCCGACTATCTTTGTTCAAAAAATCCATCTTTTGAAAAGAAACTTTGAACCATTTTACCATCAACGATGAATTTAGATGAACTAAGAGATATTGCTATTCGTATGCATAAAATTATGTCGATTGACATAGTGCAATCTCTCTGGATAGTCTACCGAAAATATGGTATGGAAGAAATACCATCCAAGTGACCAATCAATGTATCTGATACGAAATTTTGGCCAAAAGAAGTTTCATCACTCATGAAACAGTTAAAAAATGATAATATTATCGATGAAAGTGGTTGTTTAATTTTTGCCAATCAATGTTTACAAGAATTGTACAATAAAAAGGAACATTATCGACACGAATTAAATGTCAAGACCACTCGTTTATCTGGTTATAACTGTAGCATGGAATATACTATTAAAAAATTTGTACAACAAGGACTTCAATCTTTACATATTGAAATCAATGAACATATTGCCACGGTTCAATATCATTATACCAATATAATAATTCAACAAACTTATTTTGCTCAAAATCCTAATACAAATCAAGTAAACTTCTTTTATATCGAGCTTATTTTATCTTGCTATTTTAGATACAATCTTCGCTCTTAATCATATAAAAAAAGAAATTAGATAGGAAAAACAAAAACTTTTTTTCATTCATATCCTTCTCCCTTTCAGATAAAATCTTGACGAAAAACAAAAATATAATCGGTATAAAATACGAAAGAATAGCAAAAATTCAAAATATTTTCTACTGCATATGCATTTCAATACAATTGATTTAACTCGAGCAGAACAAGCTACTTCTTTGTTAATTAATAATGAACAACAAGAATATCAATCAAGAACATTATTAGATAAAAATAATGGACGATATGCTTATTTACCTATATTTCCAACACAATATGTTGGTCCAAATGAGTGTTTACTTTTGGCTAATGTACCAGGTTCTTATGTTCGATATAAATTGATTATAAATCATTTCATTGCATTGTCTTTTAGTTAATCGTCTTGCACCTCATCAAATTAATCGACGTCAATATGGAGCCTATACTTTCGATGCACTGATACTGATGAATAAGTACACTTATTCCGACGAATTTAGTTTATCTGAACACGATGCTAATGAATTAGCTTCACGATTACAAGTAGGCAAATCAATAATTACTTTCAATGCACAACGACTTCGTACCATCTGTCATACTCTTCTTGCATTTCATGAATCATTTCGACGATATGTTTTATGTAAGAGTGATGTTGCTCTAAAAGAACCAACACCCAATTCGAAACAAATGGCTATGGTATTGGAATTCTATTTACAAATCGATGGTTAGTCTTCATGTCGATATATATATATATATGATGCATATATGTTTCATATTTTTTAGTGGATTTATTCTATATGAAAACTTGTTCATTTCGAGGAGCTCAACCTCCATCTAATATAGAAGGTCTATTTTGTGGAAGAGATGAACCTCAAGCAAGATATTCATTGGTTCCATGTGATAATCTTTTTTGTCAATGTTGTCTTCCATTAAATACTTATAAGAAAAGTCAACCATGGCCAATTGTTAATTTTGCTTCAAGTTCAATGCATCGATTTCTCAATGGTTATACTACCTATCTCAATTGTCCAGCAGTATGTTGTCCTTAAATGTTGAATTTTATATCGATCGACTATGACTAAAATTTAGACATGTACTACATCGAATATAATTTATGCCATGGCATGTCCATGTGGTCATTATGATTATGTTGATTCAACAGCAAAAACATTGGCTGATGCTATGGCTTTTAAATATAAATTTTCTTACGACAATTATGAGCATGCCTTTATTTCTCTTCTTCATTTTCTTATAATATTACAGATCATCGAGAACATGGCAATCGAATTATACATGAAAAATTAACTGGCAGTCCTCTGTTTCGAGGATCACAAATCGATCCTAATGAAAGAGAGTAATAAAAGACATTCGATCATTCTTTCAATTATGCTACATATTCATTGTTTTCTTTTTCATTGTTGTAGAAAAGAAATGGCTAACCAAATGCGTCTCTATCAACATGCAGCTCGTTGTCCAGAAGCACTTCGTTCATTTCTTGATTGTAATCCTATGTATTGGTGTTTTACTCCTCTACCTTGGGATGACGCAGTAACAGAAAATGCTGCTAATCGTCCAGGAAATTCTACTACAGATCCCAATCTAGATGCTGTGATAGCAACTACTGCCGCAGACAATCGTAGGGTGGCTAATTATCTAGATAATGCACCATTACCACCAGCTTCCTATGCCTTCTCATTTCGACAGCTAAAACAACAGCGTCTATTTTTCGAACGATTTGCTACGTCTTCCATTCATTACTGTCCTTATATCAAATTAGATTTGTATAACATAGCAATTATTGCCGTTTGTAAGTAAATCTATCTTTATCAACCACATCATCATCATCATTATCATTTATATCTGTTTTTCTTTCACATTGATTTAGTACCAGATGATTGTTCAACGATACTACAATACATCATTGAAACATTATTCATTATTCATGGTGAAACTAAATTGAATATGATTTGTCCACTTGGTGGTGATGCTGAAAAACGTTACGGTCGTCCGTATAACCTACATTGGTGTGCTAATTTGAATAATTCATCAATGTGAACCACGACATAAACTCAGTGACCTTTTAAAAATACAATGGTCACTATTATAAAATAACATTTAATCAATATAAGCAACTTTATTTACCTCGTAGATATTAGTTAATCTTTAGTGTTTGTAATCTGTGTGCGAAATAGCTAACCTTAGATTAATGAAATACATTTGCGCACTTCTTCTAATATCATACTAATATATATAGTTTCATTCTAGATAATTATAATCCTGGAAGCACACTTACTAGTTTCGTACTCAACTGAACAAATCCATGACATTCTCGTTATAAATCCAGCCATATCACTACCAAATACACGACAAATCAGTCTATATTCGCTCAACATCTGTACAGATCATTAGACAACGGCTTGACTGAAACTAAGCATCAATCGATATACCAAAAACCTATCTCCACTAGCTCTGCATTAGGTATCAGAACTGCGACAATACCACATCGGAAACATTATCCAGAATAAACAAACATAATCAATGAAACACAAAAAAAATAAAACAACACCATCGGATGAAATTATCAGTCCACTCCAAAACGAACTCACATATTTCAAACACTTATCAGATTATCCCTAAAAAAACACTAAAATTACAAGCACTAACAAACCATTTGACATACTGCTACTTCATAAAACTGCTCGCCATTTCCATTAATCCATCCAACTTGCACTAAACTACCTTCATTCCATCTACACTATCGAAACAACAAACGCCAAACCGGATACTACACATACCAACAAACAAAAATCTTCCGACAGAAGATTCTGCGCTACTTTTTCATAGATTTATAAACATCTATTCCTTCCCAAAACAAATTCCTCTGCGGCACAAAAAATACTATCAACTATGTCATAACAACGCTCAAAAATCTACGCCGAATACCATTCTTTCCGATTCGACTGCTTTTACACTCCAAATCGTAGCAGCATATCCCACAACATCCTTTATTTACACAATTGCCATCCACATATCATATTTACTTAACAATTCTATCTTAAAACCTACCAATTCTCCATAATGTGTTCTACAAAATATCGCTAACCAACAACCTCT